GGATTGACCGAGACCGCGCAGGTGAGAGCAGTTTAGGAAGCCTGCTGTTGATAGGGTCTAGATCTCATGCAAGGCTCATAGCTGCTCTCCTCTTGTTCAGCAATGAGCTTATGGAAGTGACCGGTTCGAAAGGTGTACATGCTTCGTATGCTCCTGCAGCGTGGGCAGCAGACCAGGAGCTGCGCCGCCTGAAAGCAAAGCTGAGGAGACTTGAGCAAGAGCTGCGGGATCTGGGAGGGGCCGCGGAAGGTGAGCGTGCGCATCTGGCTGGGCAGGTCTGATGCGTTCGCTCTTGTGCAAACCTGGGGGGCAGTGAGCACCTCTTCATGCCTTCGATGCGCGGTGGGTCTTTCGCCACCTGCGCTGATCTGTGATGTGTTCCTGATTGCAGATGCACCGAGCGCGCCAGCCTTTGCAGCCGGGCAAGAGTCGGGTAGTACGACGGACTGGGTGTCGATGCCCAAGAGCCGGTCGCTGATTGGTGAGGCACTTGGGTTGCGGCGCTGGGTCTGCAAGCACTTGAAGTGCCGTTGGGCTGATTATGCAAATGGTTGTGGAGCGCTTGACCCTTGACCTGCCGTGGTAGATCCACTGACTTGCTCGGAGGTTTCTCGCCAGTTCAGGATGAGTTCAGCTGCGTCAGACTTGCGGCACCTGAACGTGGTCTCCTCATGTGCAGCGACACTTCTGCTGAGGGGTGGGGTGGAAAGCAACCCTGGGCCCACTTCGCAGGAGGTAAGCCTGGACAAGGGGATCTTCGCATTGCAGGGTGGGACCGTTCAGCGCTAGTTGTATTCAGCATCAGGGAGCAACTCTGTCTTCTCTCTGGATTCATTATGCTGCTAAAGAGCAGGCTACATGTTGATGCTAATTTCTTTTTTTGGCCCACTACAGGAAAAAGAAGTGGCCTTGAAGAAGGGGTGGCAGGCTGTCGATTCCGATATTGACTCGGACTTGCTGGAACACCTGGCAAATCAGCAGCTGACCGTGGACCGCTGGAGAGGGATGAGCGATGACGGCCGCTCGAAGCTTCTAGACCGACTTGAACGGGGGTACCCAGGGCCAGGGAACTGGTTGTTGGGCTGGAATGCTATCTTCGACAAAGCTGCAGGTAAGCAGCCCCCTCTATCAGACGAGTAGGCCAAGCAGTCTGCTTGGAGATCAGGAGTAGCGGTTTTCCTCAAAGCGACAACGAGGCCTGTGCAACAGCATTCGTGCATGCCTGCAAACTGGCAGAGTGCTGGAGCTCTCTGGTTTACGGTAGATGCGGTGATCCAAACCGATCCTTCAGTATCTTCGTTTCTGGTTGGAGAGTGTCCCTCTGCTTCCCGGGTTGTTTCACCTGTCAGGCTGGAGTGAGATTACATGATTCTTGAGCTGAGTGTCGGTTATTCAACTTGCCTGGTTGCATCATTCATGTCAGCCTGTTGCAATGCTTAGCCTCTCCTTCTGCCAGATTTCATGTTGACGATACGAGGAGCCTCACTGCAAGACATTTTATGCAAATTCAACC